CGACTGGTCTGAAGTTGTAAAAATTAGGATATAGGTTAAATAATTTTAAAAATATGAGTATAGGTTAAACGGGGGCGATCAAATAGGGCGCCCCTTGCAATTTTTACTTTGTTACGCGTGCTTAACAAAAATAACAGTTCGCATTGATCATGTAATGTTTCTGGCAAATCTCTTATTTAACTACCACGTATTAAAATTTATATATTTTTGTTTTTTTTATTTGGTCCCTTTCACTCTTCCTTGTGGCTTCCTCATTATTGTATTTCTTTTCAATTATGCTGTGATTATTGTATTTTCGAGTCTATCAGAAATAACCTTTTTATCTCCAAGAGATAAGAATAAGGTGCATACACACTATCCTTCCCAAACCATTGTATTTGTTGTTATTGTTGTATTCATTCTCACTCATCTTTTTCTCCGCCTAAGCACTCACATATTCTACATTAGCATGCAGTGTACATTACCTAAAAAATACCACCGAACCTTCACTAATGAAACCACCTTCAACCACCATGAAACCATAGCAGCAAAAATTACATTCATGCTTAAAGCCTTAAAACCATCACCAGCCATCCCTTTGATTGATTTCATGGTGCCACGGTTCACCTAAAGCCACCAAGAAATCATTCGTCTCCTTTCTCTCGATTAAAATCACTGCATTTGGTCAGTTATATGAATTTATCTTCCATACGTAAATTCATCACATCTTTTCCTCTTCCTCCACCAAAATAGCCATGGCTACTGTCGTCCAGGGGCGGCTCGACATACTTGGGGGGCTAAAGCGCAATTATAATTAGAGACCCAATTTTTTTTTAATCGATTTCTTTAGTAATTATTTTTTAATTGATAATATAGCTAATCAATTTAATCATTCTTGAGACGTTATTGATCTTATGTAAGATTTTATCTATTTTTATTTTTAAGAATTTCTTTCCGTTGAGGCAATTGTTAGGCATTTGAAAAAAGAATAAAATATTTTTATGCAATTAAGTATACCGATTAGAGTATTATCCGCTACTTGTATTACTTTTCTTAACTCTTTTAATTCAAAATATAAGTCTAAGCCATCAATGTTAGTGACTATTATGCTTTAATAGCCGGAATGTAAAAAATGTAAAATGAAAGCTATATCAAGTTTAAGGAAATTCTAAAGATATGTTTACTTTACTTGGGAGGACTTTTCCATCCGTTAACCGTCACATCAAATTCAATGATAAATTTTTACTATAAAATGCTTAAATATTTTTAAGAAATAAAAATTAATGCGTAGCATATTTTTTTTAAAATTTGGGGCCCTCAAAATTGGGACCTGGCATATGCCTTACTTGTTGTCCTCGTCTCCTCCTCATCATCTAGACATCTACTAGACTCTTCAGCTTCTCTCTTTATTTTTCATATGGTCTTTTTATCAATTGGATGATTTCTGAAGACTTTTTGTTCAACTTAGGCATTTGAACCATTTCTGAATGTGGCTTGTGAGGGTTTGGATTCTGCTTCAAATTGGAGAAGAGAAAGTTGGCAAAATTTGGTGTTTCATTTGTATGGATATTGTATGGGCCAAAATCCAGTTGCAATCGAAATAGTGCTAAGTAAAATATTCTTGTGATGCCGCGCATCGAAATGATCTAATTATCAATGAAGACTGTGGTCCAAGACTTAGCGGAACATGGTGAAAGAATCATCGAAGTCGAAGTCGAAGTCGCAGAGTCGCCATCGAGGCCAAGGTCGAGCATCCTTAATAGAGTTATAACAGGTAGTTTCAAGATTCTAGTGGATATTTTCTGCACTTGTACTATTAGGGTTTCCTAGAAGCATGTTCCTTATAAATAGAAAAGGATACATTGATGTGGGGCATGTGATATTCATTTGTAAAGAACACACTTTGACTAAAAGATTCAGCTCTCACTTACTAAGATACAAACATTACCTTTTCACTGAGATTCTTGTCCATACTTTTCCACTAGATCCGAGAATAACTCGAATATTCAAGGGATTGTCTATCATTCATCATTGTCAGGAAGAACATTCATTTATTCCATCTTTTCTTGGGTGACTCATTCCCTCTATTTACTTAAATGCCATTTATTGTGATTCATTATTATTAAATACAAATTAACCCCTATTTACATAAATTTAATTATTTGAACCAAGATTTATATTTTTTGATCAAACAATTTGGCACCGTCTGTGGGGATTTTTTTAGTTAAAGTTTTAGTTTCCTCAAGATTTACAATTAACACAGGTCACTAACGTCAAAAAATCCTGAGATCTCCTTTCTTTGTGTATATAAAATCCTACATGGCAGGTAACCAAGAGGAAAGGACGAGAGTAACAGGTTGTTTCCCGACCAACCTCTTAAATGTCATCAACGAGAGTTGTAAAACGGTAGGTAAGAAAACGACGCCCAGCGCATCCCCTAGGCGAGAGAGGTCACCGTCCCCACACCGCAGCATAACAAAACCCAGCGATAAAGGGGCCTCCATGTCTACAGAGGAAGGGACGCCCCAGCTGTGAAAAAACTCCTCGATACATGGCTAACCGACACGCTAGAAAGCGTCCTCAACAAACCCGCCCCAAGCGTGGATGCGAAAATCGCAAGGGTTGCATGATACAACAAACAGACGAGCAGTGCAACCAACCCCTCTCTCCAATGACATGTATAACTCACAATGTCATTAATAGTGCAGGAGACAATGCCCTCGCTGCCATTCTAAAAAGGATGGAAGAAATAGAAAATAAAAACAAGGCGCTCCGAGACCAGATGAAAGAACGCCAAGAACGGGTCGACAAGCTACCGGACGCTCCTAAGCTGCTGCCGAAAAGGGACACCGGCCAGTTCGTAGAGCAGCCATACAACGATGATGCAACCCCACATGCTATACCAAATACCTTCAAAATGCCGCTCTACCTCAGGATATATGATGGCACGACCGATCCTGAAGACCACGTGACCCACCACGCCACCGCTGTGAAAGGCAACGATCCCTCCAAGGAACAAATGTCCTCCATTTTGCTGAAGAAGTTTGGCGAGACTCTCACAGGAGGGGCATTAACATGGTATTCGCACCTACCAGCACACTCCATAGAAACTTTCGAAGAAATGGATGATAAGTTCGTAACCGCCCATGTCGGAGCCAAAAAGGCCGAGGCAAGAGTAAACGACATATTTGCTATTGAGCAGTCCCTGGGAGAGGGACTGAGGGACTTCCTCACCTGGTTCAACAGAGTAAGGACGAAGGAATGACAGTTGCAACTTTTCAGAATGGGTTAAATCGAGAGGGTTCGAGAGCAACTAGAAAATTATTGAGTCGATTGATGAAGTATCCCCAACCACTTGGGTCGAAATCCACAATGCTTATTGTGCCAAGGTCTGAGCAGACGAGGATGATCTCAATGGACCAACTCATCGGCTAACCTCAGTACAAGCCGAATCCAGAAAAGAATAAAGAGATAGCACCATAAGAGATCACCTGATTCCAAAACCTAATAGGGAACGACACCAACCCTATGTCAGGGAGGCCGCCGCCCCCGCCCTCCGCTATGAAGAAGGCCCGCCCAGACCAAGGACAGGGAATCATCAGAACGAAAGAGGTATGCCTCCTTTATTGCTTGCTCACAATATTTGTGTATCTTCTACAGAGATAGTCTACGCCCTTGAGAAACTCGGAACAAAAGTGATGTGGCCACCAAAGATGAGATCAGACCCGAACACCAGAAAGTACGACGCCCTCTGTGACTTCCACCAGGAACGCGGGCACAAAATAGAAGATTGTATCGCCCTCAGACAGGAAGTCGTAAACATGTTATGGCAAGGGCACCTCAAAGAACTGTTAAGCGACAAAGGGAGAACCAACTTTGCCAGAGGACATGAAAATCATGGCCCGCCAAAGCTGCCATCCCCAGCTCGTATCATCAACATGATCATCGACGGCAGTGATGATGCCTCTGTCAACGGCGTAACGTTCACCACCACTCACAAAATCAAGCGATCGATCACCCGCGAACGACATGCCGGACTCGAAGAGAGTATCATCTTCGATGATTCAGATGCCGACGTTGAGCGAACGTCTGGGAAAATTACACTACCCATCCTTGTCGGCGGCATAACTCTAGAGACAACATTCCACATCATGGACCAGGCCACCGCATACAGTGCCATAGTGGGTCAACCATGAATACACCCCATGAGAGCCATCCCCTCCAACCTATACCAAGTGATCAAATTCCCAACACCATGGGGAATATTCAATATACGCGGAGAGCAGCACATATCCCGAGAATGCTACCTCATTGCCTTAGACAGCACGACCACCCAACAGAGAAAAGACAAAGAAAAAGAGGCATAGCAATAAACAAGGTCGAGGTTGGAGCAAGATGAGACCGAGGATGTCATCAAGGATCTCGACACGGTCGAAGCCGTAGGATCGACCATAGAAGAACTCGACCCAGTTCAACTGGACCTTAATAATCATAGAAAGAAGGCATACACCGGCTGAAAACTTCGTGAACCAAGTAAATTCCGTCAGTTCTTAATAGCTAACGCAAACTTGTTTGCTTTCAGCCATGCAGATAAGCCAGGTATCCCAAAGGAAATCGCCACGCACAAATTAAATGTTGACCTATTCCACCCCCCCAATGAGATAGATCAGGCATAAATTCAACCCCGTTATCAATGATGCAGTCCACGAGGAAATGAAAAAGCTGTTAAAAAATGGTTCCATTAGGGAATCGAAGTACCCCAAGTGGGTCGCCAACGTAGTGATGGTTAAAAATATAAATGAAAAATGGCGGATGTGTGTGGATTTCACAGGGCTGAACAAAGCATGTCTGAAGGATTCATTTCCATCACCTTATATTGACAAACTCATCGACGCAACGGACGGGCACAAGCTACTATGTTTCTTGGATGCCTTTCAGGCTATATTTAGATCCTTATAGAAGAAGAAGATCAGGAAAAGACCATGTTCATCACCCACCAAGGAACGTATTGCTACAGGGTCATGCCGTTAGGACTAAAAAATATAGTGGCTACTTATCAAAGATTGGTAACAAAGATGTTCAAAGAACAGCTCGGCAAAACAATAGAGGTATATATAGACGACACGCTGGTCAAGTCCCAAAGGGGAGAAGATCGCATCGATCATTTGAAAGAAACTTTCGACATACTCAGACGGTACAGAATAAAGCTGAACCCGGAGAAATGCACATTCGGGGTAGCCTTGGGAAATTTCTTGGGTTTTCTGGTATCGCAGCGAGGGATCGAGGTCAACCCAGGCCAAATTAGAGCCATTGAGGGGATACCAGAACTCTTAACCACCAAAAATCAAGTCCAAAGGTTGACTGGTCGTATCACCGCCTTATCAAGGTTCATTTCGCGGTCGTCAGATATGTGCCATAAATTCTTTGGCGTACTCAAGAAAGACAACGACCTTGGATGGACTTCCGAGTGCATCCAGTCTCTGCGAGAACTGAAGGCATACCTATCATCAACACCCTTGCTTTCGAAGCTCGAACCTGTGGAGCAACTCCTCGTCTATCTAGTCATACCCGAGGTAGCAGTAAGCGCAGTCTTGATCCGCGAAAATAAAGGAATGCAATCTCCCATCTATTATTGCCACGACCCAAAATTCAAAAAGGCCGTGATGGCGCCGGACACCACTGTCAGGCAAGCCAACCATAATCAATTAACTTAATTACCCATTTTAGTATTTTTGAAATAAAAATTTCTTCAATGAAATAGTAAAGATAAAACTCATAGAGTAAATGATAAATATTTTTTAGCAACTAAATTTCTAAACAATTCACAACCATTCCCAAAACCCGGTGTCATAAGTGCATGAGCATTTACTAGGAAATTAAAAATAAAATACAACATCTGTCTAGAATACAAATTAGACAGGAAAAATATAATAACCCTGAAGGAGACTCTGTTGGCTACGGATCATAATACAGAATGCATCTCACATATGTCCCCACAATTATTAATCACACCTCTGCGCCCACAAGGCCACTAGACATATATGTATCTGCACAATAAAATGTGCAGCAAGTGCAGTATGAGTACGAAAATAACGTGTACCCAGTAAGTATCAAGCCTAATTTCGAAGCGGTAGAGACGAGATGGCCGACTTTGACACTCACTATGGGTCAATAATATTAAATAATCATGAAATAGAAATATTTATATCAACGTGATTCACAGAGTTAACAGTAATTTTATTGACCAGTAGAAATAATTAAATTCCTTCAAATGCAGTAATTGTCAATATATTAATTAAATTCCTTCAATTCAAATAATTTTCCATTTATCAATTAATCTCATTTACAGGAATAACAATTAATTCCTTAACAAGCAGGAATAATAATTCATTAAATTCCAAGGATTCGCCAATTTGTCAATTAGCTTCGCAAGCTGAAATAAACTATTAAGGTATCGTGTAATTATTATTATTAAGTACAATTTCTGCCGAGGACGTACGACCTGATCCAGAGTGTCGTGTACACTGTCGAGGGACGTGCGGCACGATCCATAGATGCATCTATCCCGCCGAGGCGTTCAGCCCGCTCCACAAGAAATGAAGACATTTTTCTTATGTACCTCCGGGAATGAGAGTATGTTTATTATAAGATAAATTCGAGATGATGAACAATTTCTTTTAACAATTAATTAATTTAAACAGAAAATCAAGCATATGAGATTTCCATCCTTTAATATCTTTATCTAACAATTCACAATATAATCATATATATTAATTAATATTAATTAAACAAAGAGTACAATGTACACAAGTAATTCATGCTTTGAGTCCTAATTACCCGGACTTTAGCATTAATAGTAGATACGCACGGACTCTCGTCACCTCGTGCGTACGTAGCCCCCGCAATTAGTAACAATTATTCAATTTAATCCCTATGGGGTAATTTTCCCCTCACAAGATTAGACAAGAGACTTACCTTGTCTCAAAGTCCACTTTCCGAATACCATGTTGCGTTAAATGCACAATTCGGTGCCGAAAAATATGAAGCTATCCAAATATTATACAAAATAATTAATACATGTTCAAAAATTCTAATTTAAGCAATTGAATAAATTACCCTAACCAAAATAGTAAAATTCCTAAAATTCACCCCGGGCCCACGTGCTCGGATTCTGGAAATATTTAGATGAAAACGTTACCCATAATCTCAAGAACTTAAATATACAATTGCTACCCAATTCCATAACTAATTTCGTGGTTAAAACCTCAATTTTATAAAAATCTAGGGTTTTCATCTAAATCTTTGATTTCTAAGATTTACTAGTTAAAATCTACCTATAATCTATGTATTTAACTCAAAGGGTGTAGAATTAACTTACCTTTCAATTGCTAGTTGAAACCCCCTTCTCAAAATCTCTGAAATCGCCCGGAAATGGAGGAGAAATGGGCTCAAAATGTCTGAGCCCCGACTTTTAACCATTCTGCCCAACAGTGAATTTTGCACCTGCGGAGAGGGGCTTCCGCACCTGCGGAAAAGCCTCGCAGGTGCGAGTTTTCCCTCGCCTGCCAGGCCTCGCATATGCGAAAAATGCTTGCACCTGCGCGTTCGCAGGTGCACCTGAGATTCCGCACCTGCGATGGCATACCTCCCCTTCTCTTTTTCGCTTCTGCGCATAAACCTCGCATATGCGACAGTCGCACCTGCGGCTGTCCAAGCACAGGTGCGAACGTACCAGAAGCAGAAGGCTTCAACTCTTCTTCAAAATTTCAAAATTGATCCGAGCCTCGTCCGGTTAACCCCGAACATACCAACAGGTTTGAAATCATAAAACGGACTCGCTCGAACTCTCGGAACGCGTAAAACAACTTCAAATCTAAGAATCATACCCTAATCCAAATTGATTCAAACTTTAGAATTTCAAGTTCTTCAATTTACTTCCAATGCGCCGAAACATACTTAAACTACTCGGAATTACACGAATGTTTTGCGTGTAAGTCTTAAATCACTGTACGAATCTATTCTCAAACTCAGAATTCCAAACGGACCTCGATTACTCCAAAACCTATTCCAAACCAATTTTAAAGAACTTTAAACCTTCAAATAGTTAATTTTCACTATTAAGTGCCAAAACACTCCCGGGTTATCCAAAACCCTATTGAAACATACGCCTAAGTCCGAAATCATCATACGAACCTATTGGAACCGTCAAATCCCGATTCCGATACCGTTTTCTCAAAATGTTGACTGAAGTCAAACTTGCCCTTTTAAGGCTAACTTAAGGAACCAAGTGTTCCGATTTCAACCTGAACACTTTCAAATCCCGAACCAATCATCCCCGTAAGTCATAAATCATTAAAAACACATACGAGAAGTTTTATTTAGGGAAACAGGGTTCTAACAGTCAAAACGACTGGTTAGGTCATTACAATTACATTAGCAAAACACTCGTTGACGTCGAGATGAGGTACCCTCACCTCAAACATTTAGCTTTGGCCTTGGTCTTAGCTTCACGAAAGCTTAGATTCTATTTCCAAGGTCACCCTATCTCGGTCGTTACAACTTTCTACTGAGCATTTTGCATAAACCCGAGCTATCGGGATGGCTGGCCAAATAGGACATCGATATAAGTGAGCACGATATCACATACCAGCCACGAACATCGATAAAGTCGCATGTGCTCGCCGGCTTCAATAGAAAAATATTGCCTGAAGTCGAAAAGGAAGCCGTCCAAACTTCCCTCCAAACACAAGACCTCTGGGTCCTATTCACCGATGGCACATCCAACGCTTCAAGGTCCAGACTGGGACTCTTACTTGAGGTCCCAACAGGCGAAGTAATTCACTAGTCCATAAGGTGGCCAGATATGACTAACAATGAGGTCGAGTATGGGACTGTAATTGTAGGATTAAGGGTGGCACTCAAATATGGGGAAAATGGTTGAAACTTCGCAGTGACTCCCAACTCGTAGTCAATCAAGTCACAGGGACTTTTCAAATCAAGGAACAAAGATTGTAGAAATACAAGACCGAAATCTGCAGGCTATTGCCTCAGTTCGACGAATACTAACTCGATCAAATCCAGAGCACAGAATGCTGAAGCAGATGTCCTCGCCAAATTAGTCGCAGCTACCAAAAGTATCATGACTGGAGATAAAAGCGTAGTTTAAGAACCATAAAGTTAACTTGGGACTGGCGCAATCATATTATTGCATATTTGCAGGATGGCACACTCCCAGGTGACAAAACAAAAGGCCAATAAACTAAGAATGCAGGCGGCCAGATACAACCTCCTCCATAGCGACCTGTACAAGAGGACTTACAGCGGCCCTCTAGCGAAGTGCTTGGGCCCGAACCAAACCCAATGTATCCTCAAATAAGTCCATGAAGGCCATTGAGGAGGTCACTCCGGCAATCGAGCACTGGTCAAATGCCTCATACGGGCGAGATACTACTGGCCTACCATGAAAAAGGATGCCGCAGATTTCGTAAGGAAATGCGAACAATGACAAAGGTACACCCTAATGATTCACAAAGAAGGCGAGCACCTCTACTCGATCACCTCCCCTTGGTCGTTCATCAAATGGGGAATGGACATCTTGGGCCCCTCCCAGCGGGGCGAGGTAACGTGCAATTCCTTTTGGTTTTAACTGACTACTTCTCTAAATGGGTGGAAGCAGGAGCATTCGTCCAAATATTGGAACATGAGGTAATCACCTTTATATGGAGAAACTTCATATGCTGATTCAGCATACCCAAGGAAATCAGTTGTGACAGCGGACCCTTGTTCACAGGAAAGAAAACCGTCGAGTTCTTCAAAAAATGGCATATCAAGAGAATACTCTCAACCCCATACCATCCAGCGGGTAACGGCCAAGAAGAATCCTCTAATAAGTCTATACTAAAAATCATGAAGAAAAAGCTCGAAAACGCCAAGGGATTATGGCCGGAGATGTTACCAGAAGTATTATGGGCCTACCGAACAAATCCGAAGACGAGCACAAGAGAGACGCCCTACTCTTTGATCTACGAGACTGAGTTAGTAATACCGGTTGAGGTCGGAGAACCCAACCTAAGGTACTCCCATGAAAGCGGCGCAAGTAATGATGAGAGTAGAAGGCAAGATCTCAACGAGATAGACGAACAGAGAGACATGGCCTACATAAGAATGGTCACCCAAAAACAACAAGCAGAATGTTATTACAACAAGAAATCAAAGGCCCGACCGCTTAAAGTCGGGGACTATGTACTAAAAGCCAAAACTCTAGCGAGCAGAGATCCCGAGAAGGAAAGCTGGGAACGAACTGGGATGGTCCGTAATAAATCACAGCAAAAGCAAATAAGTGTTCATTCCAACTTGAGACAATGGAAGGAAAGCTACTACCAAATAACTAGAATATCATCCACCTCAAATACATCAACTTCTAAGAGAAAAAGCATCCCCCAAGTCGTACTTGTTTTCCCTCACTTGAGTTTTATCCCATTTGGGTTTTCTCAAGGAGGTTTTTAACGAGGTGACAGAGGGAACGCTTCGAGTTGAATTATGCAAAGGTAGGGTTGTGATTACTATTTCATTGCTCAACCTCTTAATGCTCTTCAGGTTAACCAATGAAGGGACTAGATAGACTGGGACTCTGACTGGAATGCCATCTAACACTAAAATATCTATAAATTTCTCCAAGTATGTAACCAAAGCAACAATGTCAAAGCAATAAGAAATTTATGCTTATCAATATAACTCTTCCTTGTTAAGGTTACGTTCGATGAGCAAACACCTATCGGCCCTCGACCGCAATACTAATGAAAGGTTACGTTCGACCCCGCTCAAACAAACACCTATCGGACCTCGGCCGCAATCTAATAAAAGCTTACGTTCGACCCAGCTCGAGCAAACACCTATCGGCCCTCGGCCACAATCTAATGAAAGGTTACGTTCGACTCCGCTCGAGAAAATACCTATCGGCCCTCGACCACGATTTAAGGAAAGGTTACATTCGACCCCGCTCGAGCAAACACCTATCGGCCATCGGCCGCAATCTAAAGAAAGGTTACATTCAACCCTATTCGAGAAAACACCTATCGGCCCTCAGCCACACTTTAATGAAAGGTTATGTTCGACCCCTCTCGAACAAACACCTACCGGCCCTCGGCCGAGATTTGACGAAAGGTCACGATAGATTACGATCAAACAAACACCTACCAAGACTCGGCCACGATCTAACAAAATGTTTCGCTTGATCCCACCCGAACAAACACCTATTGGCCCTCGACCATATCACAACACAAAAAATAGAAAAAGAGAAAAAAGAAAAAATAACGCGTAATTGGCTCCAAGTCCACGGCCAGCTAAAAGACAACACCAACGAGGGAACGAGCGAAACAGGCAAACAATAGAAGATAAAAACATACAAGTACAGAAAGTAAACCACAGAATCTGGAGAAGATGCAGAGAACAACTTTGATATTTCATACTTAAACATTTTACAAAGGCCCATGAAGACGCCGGCAAAAGTACACAAAGATTTACAAAGAAAAAATAAAACTACTGATCGCCACCATCACGATCTTCAGTGCCTTCACCACCTTGGCCACCGATGCCCTTGCCATCTCGACCCCCCTCACCATTGCCACCTTCACCCTTAGGATAAGCGATATCATACCAGGCGTTCTCTTCAAGTCGGTCTACGCCCTCTTCCTCCCCCTCACCGGCCTCAGGTGTAGCGGGATCATACCCGTAAGTAACTCGATCTTCACGAGCCTTAACGCGAACACCTTCGAGGGCAGCCTCTGAAACGGATCCTGCCGCATACAAATCTTGGAAGACATCCAACTGAGCCTCGTCGTGAATCCATTCCTCATATAATTCCCGAGGAATATTGGGAAAATCTAAAGTACGGGAAGAAGATGGTTGTGCAAGCAATTGGGCCTTCTCAGGTTCTAAAGCAGCCACCCAATCATGAAGGATGGATTTATCTTTCTCCAGCTCTCTTCTCCTCTCCTTTAGTCGATCTTCTTTAGCTTTCGCCGTGGACTGGTCATTCTCCCGCTCGACCCGGAGGGCCATGTTCGCCAACTCAAGCATTTTCGACTTCCTCTGAGCATCCAAACGGGAGGATTTTGCCTTCTAAAACTCACTCTGCTTCTCGGTGATTTCACCATTAAGGGCCTCCAACTGAAGCCGACATTCTTCTAATTGTCCGTGCAGCTCGACCACTTGTGCTTGAAGGTCACTGCATTGGGCTTCCACGCCCCTGCTGACCTGAAGCTCCTCTTCCCTACTCCTCAATGTTCCCTCAAGGACACTACAATTCTCGATGTCTTTCACCAGCTCATCATCCTTCTCCTCTAACTCATCGCGAAGGGCATGTTTATCACTGCCTTCAAGAAATTGCATGCGAAGCTCTCGGTACTTGCCGCGATACTAGAAGTACTTATTTTTCAACCTCACAAATATTTCTCTATGACTCTCCTCCCTCCGGGCGCTCTCGATCTCCAAAATCACAGTCTGCAATCACAAAAAGAAAAGAAGTAAGTCAGAAAAGAAAACGCCCCGAAAAACAAAGACCAAAAAGAGGAGAATGACAAAACACAAAACACTCACTCTAAGAGAAAGACCGGCAATGCTCCTCGATAAAGCGCCGTCATCTAAATCTTTGAGGGTTTTACCCTCTATCTCGGAACAAAGAGGGCCGAGGGCAGGGACTACCTTCTCGGTGTTCTTCAGCAAGTCACAATCCATAAGGATCGCGATGGTCCTCGTAGAACCCTCCAACCTTATCTCAAGTTGGGTAAACCTTTCCTATATCATCTTCAGGTCGTCCGCATCAATGTCCAAACCCGACTCATCGCCCTCCTCAGCGACGCCTTTGTATCTATCATTGCGAGGAGAGGAGGTATTAGCAGCTGGTCGTGAAGTCGATGCCTCCTCTCTCCTTAAACTGTCACGAACGTCGGCGGCCGGTCCTTTAGTCTCCGTCACCATAAAAGGAAGGAGCATACCCACGTCGGCTTCTGCTAACCTCAAAATCTCGGACCCCGACTCGATATCGTCTTTGATGAGAATGGTCGACATCTCACGCAGCGAAAAATCACCCTCTATTAAGTCAACGGCCCAGGTGACCCCTTCACTAGCATCTATAGACCTGCTCTTTCGAGGCAGGAAATCACCATCACTAGGCAAAGTTTTGTCGTCCTCGTCGATGAGAGAATGCAACGGAGAAACCGAAGTCTCTATGACCGGAATACGAGCGGCTTCAGATAAAGAAATAGAGGAAACCGTGACAGAAGAAGGATGAGTCATGGCTGAAGAAAGGGCAGAAACCGAGGACGCAATGGCTTTCCTCTTTCGGAACGAGCGCACAGGAGCCCTCTACGTCCTCACAGATCCCCTGGCCGAGGCTAAGAAAGAACAAGAAAAGAGAAAATCAATGAAGGTAAATAAAAAAGAAAAAAAAGGTTAAGACACCAATGGTAAAAGGGACTTACCAGTCGAAGAGAGAGCAGGCCCAAACGTTTTGAAAATCCTGGCCATTCACGAATGCCAATGATATGAGGGAGGAACCGATCGACGCAGTCAGAAATATTGTCGACCAAAGGAGGAGGCGAGATCTTGGCTTCATGAGAAAAAGACGAGATCAAAACACACGACCAAACCTAAGAAAAAAATCGAATACCTACAGGCAGGTAAATTAGGTACTTACGAGCATAGTTCCAAGCCTCTGAAAAACCGTCGACATTGGCCACCACGTCCTTGGTTTTGATAAAAAAGAAGTTGAATTAGAACTTACGGTTGGCTTTGTCATCCATCTTCACAACCAAGCACTTATCCCCTCGGTGGTGAAGATTCAACATCGTTCCCCTATAATAGCTGGGGGTGAACAAGTGTACTAAGTGCCGAAGTGTCAACTCGACCTTGGCTAGCTCAGCTAATTTTGTAAGCATCTTTATAAGCTTGTAGACATAAGGCGCAAGCTAAACTAGGCAAACACCATAATAGCGACATAACTCCTCGACCAATGGTAGAAGAGGAAGGGAATAACCGATTTGGAAGGGGTACGCGTAGAAGGCACAATACCCAGGATGGTGAACTTGCACTGTATCCTACCCCATCAGAATTATCTCAATATGATTGGGAAGGCCAAATTTAGCCTTAAGCTCTCCCAATTCCTTCACCGTCATCACTGACCGAAAATCTCCGGCCTCAGCATCAGGTGATTTAGTAAAGTCAGACCTAGAATCAGGGTTGCGTGGAATCAACTCCTCCACCGACAAAAAGGTTCCATCCTCAACGGCGGCAGGAACACCCTCCTAACGGGAAGGGAACACCACTACCAAGGGGTCCACACGACTTCCCTCGCCGGACTCAGAAGGTAGGTTAGACATAGCTCAATGTAAGAGAGAAAAGTATCAAATAAAGATGAACGAAGAACAATAAAGATCTCAGAAATAGAGAGAAAAGAGGGCTTTGTAAAGAAGATGAGAGATAAGCTAGTGCTAGAGGGGAAGGAAGAGTTTGAAAAGTTCCAAAATCGGAAAACTTTCTCCTATTTATAAGTTTTGGAGGCACCAGAATCGAAACTATGTGGGTCATAATTAGCTCGAAAATCGAACCGATAGAGCTAATCAAGAGTCACACCTGAATCGATGCAATGCATCAGGTAACAGGGGTCATCATGACGTATGATGTCATGACATTACCACTTTTCTTGGACCAGATGACTCCAACAAGCTTCCCGGGTAATTCAAATAATTTAAAATATGTGAACCTCAGAAGGCCACGTCGTCCCGTCTCCACGACCACGACCTCCGCCAATAATGAACGACACTGTCGCTCATCGACCCTGTCCGCGGGGACGACCTCGATAAGCGGAGGGGCTAACTGTATAGGTCAAAATCCAATTTTAGACGAAATAATGCTAAGTGAAACATTTCTGCGATGTCGCACATCGAAATGATTTAATTATCAACGAAGGCAGTGGTCGAAGACTTAGCAGGACATGGTGAAAGAATCATCGAAGTCGAAGTCGAAAAGTCGTCATCGAGGCCGAGGTCGAGCATCCTTAATAGAGTTATAACGGTTAGTTTCAAGATATGACATTAAAGAAAATATTCTTGTGAATATTCTATGCACTTGTACTATTAGGGTTTCCTAGGAGCATGCTCCCTATAAATAGAAAAAGACACATTGATAGGGGGCATGTGATATTCATTTGTATAGAACACACTTTGACTAAAAGATTCGGCTCTCACTTACTAAGATACAAATATCACCTTTTCACTGAGATTCTTGTCCATACTTTTTCACTAGATCCGAGAATAACTCGAATATTCAAAGGATTGTCTATCACTCATCATTGTCCGGAAGAACATTCATTTATTCCATCCTTTCTTGGGTGACTTATTCCCTCTATACATAAATGTCATTTATTGCCATTCATTGTTATTAAATGTAACATTATTATTTTTGATTTGTGGAATATTTACTACATATCACTGTTACTGACCGACCACATTTGCGTGATATTTATTGCTCCTTTAAGAACCTCATCTAAGGATATTATTTTTAGCTAAGATTAACCTCTATTTACATAAATTTAATTATTTAAACCAAGA